AACTGTACTCTAAAATGCTGAAGATAGTAAATTGTATGTTACACATTTTTTTAACTACAATAATTGAAAAAAGGAAGGGAAAAGAAAAAACAAAACTTGGAAAAACACAATTTTGATATAACTTCCACTCTCAGGGTGGTGGTATTGATGTGTCAATGTACAACTAGATGAAGGCTGAAAGATAGAATACATCCTGTCTAGACTCATTTTACTGTGCAAAAATACATGTAAGAAATCAGTTCCAAGTTTGTTCCAGACAAACCCTTCAGCATTCACATAAGAGTGGACTGATCACTTGTCAGCTTCATCTTCTGACAAGCAGCAAGCACTCTGCTAAGTATCTGCTGCACTGAATCCAAAATAACTTATGTGCAATGACATCCCCAGCTGGCAGCAACCAAGTTAAAATTGGGTTATAGATGTCTCTAGGACAAAATTCAACAACTGAGTCACTGAACTATAGTTGAGATGCTAGAATCTGGCATTTGAAGACATTTATATCTCTGGAGAAATGAGCTCAGCTATGTCATGCATCCATCAATTCTGTTTCACTGATTCCACCCTAACGCAGTCATGTTTCTAAGACAAGTTTTGAAAATTGAGTTTGAGCAGGAAGCCTCCGATGTGAGAAGTGGATCTTTCTCTACATCTCAAAGGGCTGATCTTATGAAATGCCTCACTGAGGTGGCACCACCTAGCACTGCATTCTGCTATACATCCTGGGAATCATATAACTGTTAAACCTGGCATCAATGATTTCCTGTTTTGGACACAGACCTACTTTTATTTAAGTCACAAAGAAGAAGCTATGCTGTTCAATTACTAAGCTAGCAGTAGTTTGGGGGCTCTGTAAATAGATTTTAGCCACACATATGATTACTGTCTATATTCTCTGGCATATGAATATATCTCAAAAAAAAAAAAAAAAGCAAGTCACCTTTGGCATCTCAGTTAGAATCCCAGTCCTTAACACTTACCAGCTATATGACCCTGGGTAAGTCATTTGTGTTCAACCCTTAGATTCTTCATCTGTAAAATAGGACTGATAACAGATTTCCCACAGGGTTTTATATAAATTAAATGAAAGTTTATTTCAAAACCTGCTACATACTAGCAGAAATCAGAAATTACTTTCCTTCTTTCTTCCTTAATCAACAACAGGAATTATTGAATTTTGCTCTGTAAAGAGCCAGACAGGAAATATTTTAGTCATTGAGCGCCCCACAGTTCCTGTAAGAACTACTCAAGTCTGTCTTTGTAGGACAAAATCATCCATAGAAAATGAGCGTGGCTATGTTCCAATAAAGCATTATTTTGTGTCCTTTTTTTGTACCAGGGATTGAGCTCAGGACCTTGTACTTGAGAGGCAGGCGGTGGTACCACTGAGCTAAATCCCTGGCCCAATAAAACATTATTTTAAAACACAGACACTAGGCTAGATTAGGCCAGTGGTTGGCTATAGTTTGCTAACCTCTGTTACTAATATCACACATGTCTAGATATCATGCCATTAATTTTTCACCATTCTGTTTCTATCCATTCCAGATATGTCATTACTTTCTTTTTCCACACTGCTTTTATTCTGTTTCTTGAAAATATCAGAACAAATTATTCTAGTTCAATGGCTTGACTCACTTTTTTCACATTTAATTTTATGCCTCAGGAAGCTCCCATGGTGGCAGTGAGTACTTAGACCTGAGTCATTCAATTAACTTATGTAGAGAGAAGGTTCTAGGTAAATCAGCCAAACTTAAACAAAGAGTCCCTTTAACTGTTACAGAGATGGAAGTAAAAGGACCATCCCTTGGAAAATCAGAGTTTAAAAAAGCATTTTCATTTATTTGTGAAGGAAACATTGCAACTTATTTCCTAGTTTTATACATACTGCTTAATAAATGTTTTTTGTATATGTGCAATAACCACTTATTAAATGTCACTTTCTCTTTCCATCTACCTAATATTGGAGTATCCTCCCTGTGACCATTAATTATGATTGTCAACCTGACTGGGTGAAGAGATCTCTACAAGATTGGTAAAGCACATTTCTGGGTGTCTGGGTGGCTCATGAGGCTGTGACCATGGGGACTATACTGGTCCAGCCCTATTCTTTCTGGCGCTGTTCCCCTGCTTTGCTTTCTGGCTACAATAAACTAAGAAGTTATCCTCTACCACGCACTTCTTCCTTGGAGCCAGCTGACTGTGGACTGAAGCATGTCAAACTGTGAGCCACATAAACCTCTTCCCCTTCAAGTCGTGCATGTTGGGCATTTGGTACACTCTGTCTCTTCTTGATCCCCAGAAATGGGCCTCTTCTTATTTTGTTCCTTCTTGTTTTGTCCTGGGATGCAATTTGATTCTCAGTCATTGTCCCACTTCTTTTCTCTATATAGCCTTATTCTCTTAGGGAATTCATTTATTCTCAAGTCTTTATATAGTGGGAAGAATAAAGTATTTGGAAGCTTAAAGCCTGGCTCTGTAACTTACGAGCTGTGCTGCATAGGAAAAAAAGTGACTTCATGTCTCTGAACTGGGATTGTTCCATTCTGAAATGGAAGTTTGTTTATTTATTGAACAGTATTTACTGAGCACTTACTATGTACCAAGTACAATTATAGTATATGAGATTCATTAGCAGACTAAACAGATAAATAGATTTTCCCTTAGCTCCTATTCTAGCAGAGGGGGATGGACTAAAATTAAAAACACACTATATATGAAAGTTATATAGAATAATAGAATGTGATTAAAAACTGTAAAAAAGAAAAAGGTCACATTTTTATCTTTCAAAAGATGATCAGGTCAGGATAGGTTTCTCTGAGAAAGTAATTTTTGAGCACAAAACTTTAAAAGAGGTAAAGGAATTTTAAAAAATAGGGCTTCTGATGAAGAAAAATGCAGGCACGGAAACTGACTAAAGGTCCTAAAGGCCGGAGCATGCCCAGTACTTTCTAAGAACAACAAAGAACCCAATGGGAATGGAGGGAAATAGGCATGGGGAAGAACAGCAGGAATTAAGTTCAAAGAGAAAATTAGACCAGCCCACCTAGGACCTCTGAATGCACTGGTAGCAAGACTACACTATTTACAAATAGTACATATTGATCACTTCTATGGAAAGGTATGGGAGCATTTCATCAGAATGGGCTGAAGACTGCTTGGTCTTTCTGTTTCCTTATCCATGAAATAGGGATAACACCAGCATTGTTGTGACCATTGGGTACATAAATACTTGATATATGTTGATTATTAATAATATTGTTATTTTATACTTAACTTTTCCCTCTTTTTTATGAACCCACATTTTCTTCCTCTTGGTTATTCTGTTCATACCATTGTATACTACACTTTCACATTCTGTCCATACTATAATTTCATCTGTTCTCAGCATAATGCTGGTCTTAAGATAGTGCTTAGCAATGAGTAGGTGTAACAAATGGGAATCCACAGGGTTTACACCTATGTTCTCTATCAAATCTGGATGCTTCCTGAACACTTTGTTTTTCCTTGCTCTTATGGTTTCCCAGTGCAGGAGATACTCCAGCCTCTTTCAGGGAAGCAACATGATGCAACAGAACAGAATTGAACTAAGAAACAAAAGACGGGTTTTTCAGCTTTCCAGGCAAAAGGGTCTCTCTGTCAGTCCCTCTATCTGCCTGCCAACTATTTTAGCTTGGGAAAAATAACCTACACTTAGTAAACCTCTGTTTCTATCAATAAAAAGAAAGACATGACCTGCCCTCTGCACATAACAGCTTTGAAGATCAAGTTTAAAAATAAATCTGGGGGGGGGGACACATCTGGAAGAGCTTTACACATAGTAAAGTACTATAGAAATGATACAAGGCATGATCATTTATACATCATTGAATAAAAAACTTAACAATTGAATTAACTGGGTCTATTTCAAATAGAATTCTGGAAAAAATAACTATTATCACTGTTTGAGATTTACTCATTTTGGTCATGTTGTTTCTTAAAAGTATGGAGCTCAAAACTGAGAATTTTCATGTCTATCCCCAAAGAGTTCATCACATCTAACAACTCACTGAAAGTCAATATTTAGCCAAAATGTCAGTTTCCTATCCCAAAACCCGTGGGTGCTATATAGTACATAAAGATAGCACTGTTATAAGTAAGACATCTACCAAAGGAAAGAAAGAAAAAACAAAAGATTCCCAATAAATTAAAAATGTCTCGTGTATTTCAACAGGAAGTTACTAGAGATGTAAAAGTCACTATGAGGTCAGAACAAATGGTTCAGAAAGCACTGAAGGCAATAGGAATGTTCCACTCATATGTTCCTGAGGAATTGTGTGTGCATGGCTATTGTTCTATTTTAATTTGTGTTACATCTAGGGCATCCACCACACTGGGATCTCTAATAAGTTTAAAGAGTATCAACAGAGAATTCTACACTAGGCAGGGAACTCCCCAAACTAATGAATTAAAAAGGGCAGTTCCTAGTGATGCACATATCACAATGCAGTGATAACTGTGCTCTTTCATTTTTTTTCAGCTTTGAGTTTATTGGTACATTTTAGGGATACAGTACAGTTACATTCATTGTTGGGATCTTGTACGTGACAAGTCTTGATTCTCATTTTTTCCCCTTGTCCCTGCCCTCCCTTCACCCCCTCCTCCCCTCCCCATCTACAACCACTTTATTTCTATCTTTTCATTATCTCACATTTTTTTCTTTTCCCTTTTTACCCTTCCCCTACCCGTCCCACCTTCCCTACAAATGTGCTCTTTCATTTCTTTCTCTTTTTTTCCCCCTTCCTAATGAGGATCAAACTCAGGGCCTTGTGCTTATGAGTCAGGCTTGGTGCTACTGAGCTAAATCCCCAGCTCTTTTTTCATTTCTTTCTTTAGGGAGTCAGTTAGGTTTATAAAAAAGAGTAACACATTTGACAATGGATGAAGACGAGTTGACCTTATCCCAGGATTACTTCCAAAAATCAAGTAAGACCACCTTACCATTCAGGTTATGATCACCTTACCTCTATTTTTTCCCATATGGCTTCAAAATTTTCTTGGTGTTGAATATCTTGCATTAATTTCTGAATTAAAGCTGATTTTGCAGCAGAATGACTTGCACTTTTCTCAGAGGATGAAACTCTCCCTGATTTCTCATCCAAGTATTTTTTCATGGCAGAGTGAGGCATACACAATTCCTCATCAGAAAGAATGTCACTCACAGGCCCAGATTCAATGCTCTCCCCAAGGGAAGAGGCTATGTCACTGGAAGAGCTTGGAGATACTCTGCCTAACCTTGTGTGCTTTTTCTTGATGTGGTACACTGGATAGATCTCAGAATCTGAATTCATTTCAGATAGTTCCCAGTCATCAATATTCTGAATAGTTTCTCCTCTGGGTTTCTGAGGCAGAAGCTTTGTTAGATTTTCCAATTTCAAAGCTAACACTTCTGTCTTCTTAAGGTGAGAGGGCAGTGCCAAGTATTCATCAGAGCCATACCAGGCCTCCACAACCTGGCCATTCTTGGTGATGTGACTTGGAGATGAAGAGTGACCCTTTTTGCTTTTGTGTTTTGCAAGAAGAGGTATTGGAGACACGATGTTGTCTGAGTCAATAGAGCATTCACTGCTTTGAGTAAAAGGTGGCGAACTGGATATTTCTGACTGCACTGGCAATTTGCCGGGCTCAACCGAGGAAGTGGAAGTAGAATCTGTTTCTAGCCCCTCTGTGTCCTTGGAAGTACAAGAAGGCATCCCGTTTGACACTACTGAGCTCTTCATGTTTTCAGTTCCCCGTTTAGGTGTTCGGCACGGAGGCACCTCTTCTAAGGTCTTGTGTGACTTTTTAAGTCGCGATTTCTCTTTACGGTAGTCATTAAGCCTTCCTAGACTAGAAGAGATTTCTTTAATGTGACTTTTGATTATGTTTTCAAGATTCCCAATCCCCACCTTGTGCAAACACTCATAGGACTGGCTGGCAGCAGAAGGGCTGTGAGAATAGGAAGACTGTAACACCAGGCAAAGCTTAGATCGGTCAGGTGGGTCTACCAGTGAAGGGGTGCTTCTGCTCATCTCAGGATTAAGATCACCCATCTGCTTCTTGCCCTCATTGCCTCTCAGAGCATTAGTAAATGTTTCCTCTTTAAGGAAAAGCCCTCTTTTTGGTAATGTGGGCTGTGTGGGAGAGTCCTCGTTATAATTAAAACAATCTCTGATGGATCGCTTGGGGGTTATATTTTCACAAGAAACAGGCTGTTGATCCTTTGTACCAAGATGTGAGTAGGAGTTGGATTCTTGCTTGATGGTCTCAGGAGAGAGCTGAACAGTATTTATCACAACTTCCCCCGAAGATGACATTCCTGATGTTAACCCTGCCTGTTCTTCGACTGTAGAAGCACTGTTTTCCTCACATCCACCTCTGTCCTCTGCTGAGAGAGATACTTGAGATACTGCTTCAGTGACTGCTTCACTGCATGTGGAAGGGATGGGGTCAGCGGCCACTGTGAGTAACCCAACACTTCGGATAAGCTCAGGGAACTCCTTCTCCATTTCACTATAGCTCCAAGAGTCAAAGGGTTTGGTTTTGACCTGGCTAGAGGTCATGTCATCCAGGCCGCCAAGCAAATCCTCACTTGGACTGTAGTCAGACAGTTCAAATGCAGTAATACCACAATCTAGAGACAAGTAATTTTGTGAGCATTTGATGGTTAACTGTCCTGAGTCATCCACTTCTGTTAAAGAATCAAGCCGGCCCTGAAACAGACAATGGCAGTGGTATCAGTAAACACAACAATTATTCTCAACCATTGTTCAAATGAAGTTTCAGTAGAGGTCATTATCACTTCTGTTTTGATATATAGAGAAGCATATTAATCTATTATCATTTTGTTTTATGTACACTAGGCTATTCTTAAACATTTAAAGTTTTTTCTTTAACCTGGAAAATAGAGCTTTAATTAAAATACTCAATCTCAAGCCCAAAATATCCATTCTTATCTTAATTTTCTAGTTGAAAAAGTGCATTAATCCTTTAATAAATATGCCTGAAGTAAAGCCTTAAGTAATAAAATTTCTGAAAAAAAAGTAATATTAGAGTAAAATCTAAAGGAAGGACTGTTTTTTGTTTGTTTTTTGTTTTTTGCAATCACTTTAGCACCTATCATTGGAGACATTCATTAAATATTTTAAGTGGAATAATTAATTTTACTAAGCCAATCACGTCAAATATATATTCACAAATCACAGGAAGGTCAACACTAAATTTGCAAATGTGTAACAGAAATAGTTCAAGATCAGTCTCTGTTTGGCCCCACACTTTCAAAGTACACACAGGTAACTGCAGAAAGTTAATAAATTTCAAAACTTTATCATCTACCCCATCTCTTCTTTCCACTCCCCTACTAGTATATATTTAAATAAGTGTCCACCTCCCTATTATTTATAATGCTAAGTAGGCTGATTTGATTTGAAATAGATCCATGATGAAAAAAATATAGCATTGCAAGTAGGTATTTAACTTTTTGCTCATTAATTCTGTGACTAGGGTTTTTGTCCATTGATAAATATAGTTTCTTTTCTTTTTTGCACAGTACTGGGGATCAAACTCAGGGCCTTATACATTCTAAGAAAGGGCTCTATCACTGAGCTACACCTGCACCCTTCTAACATACTTTCTGATATCACACAGCAAACAGGAAAATTTTGATTGATGATATGGGGTTAAAAGGCCCCTGGAATACTACTATGCTTACCAGGCTGAAGGTAGCCTACTCTAATCTAGCCACTTAAGAAATGAAGGAAGGAAATATAAAAATAAATTTGTTTATGGCCCCAGACCTCCATTTTGCTGAAGAAAGAATGGGAGTTAGCTGATTGAAGCCAGGTCCCATATTGTTGCTGGACCATGTCCCTTTCAACCAGGTTATCCAAAAGCCTGTCTTTACCAGGATCTTATATGGGGTTTTATTCATTTGTTTGTTTTGTTTTGAGAATGTTTTCTCCTTGCTTTTATCTCCTACTCACCTTACTCTAAAACACTCAGATAAACCAAATAATATGATAAGAAGCCTCTTCCAACATTTATAAGCCCCAGTTTCCTCATCCATACAAGGGGATGGCTGATTCTTATCATTACTTTTTCATTTAATGCTTACAACTTCCTTCTGGAGTCTGTACTATTATTGTTTGTTTGTTTGTTTGTTTAAACAAGAGGAGTCTGGGGCTGGAGATTTAGCTCAGTGGTTCTGCCACCTGCCTCATAAGCGCAAGGACCCAGAGTTCGGAATTCGATCCCTAGTAGCAAAAAACAAACAAAAAAACAAAAAAGAGGAGTCTGAGCCAAAAGAAGGTATACAAGAAGCCCATTATACCATGATCATGGGCTAATCTAATCTTGGACCAAAGCTGTCAGAACAAAGCCCAAGTCTTGATCATAGGATATTATTTTTAACTGATATATCACTTCCTCCAATTTGTTTTCCATACTGCAACCAGAATAATCTTGAAAAACTGCAAATTTGGTGCTATTACTTCTCTACTTAAAATTCTTTGCTAGCTTCCTCTTACTGTTAGGTTAAAAAATCCAAACCCTTCGAAGGCCAGGTGTGAATACCCCTCATGTTACTTTATCCTCGACTGCTACAACCAAACACAGTATCTACCTTTAGGTTTCTGCACACAATATAACATAATCCCTCCTGCCTCGAGGCCTTAGCACATGCTGTTTCTTGTCTTAAAAGCACCTCACCTATGCCTTTAATGATATGACTCTTCTTTCCTCCCTGCAATCTTAACTCAGGTCTTCACCTATTCAAGATTCCAGACCCTTAGCTAAGTCAGAATCTTTTATGGTAAGCTGTCAAATCTATGCTTTTTACCTATGAGCTCAAATCACAGTGTAAATAAATACTGTTGTGACTATCTAATTAATTTGCTCCTCCCAATGTGTGTAAATACTATGAGAGTATAAATCACAGAAGATGTTTGATTGACCAGGGTACTGGCATCATTTAGTGAACAAATCTATGGAAACTGAACATCAAAATCTTATTTGTTAAATGACTAAAAGAATGAATGATGACATTTTGAAATGTCTCTCTTTTGCCTTCATTAAAGAGTATAATTCTGAGTCTAGCACTGATTGACTATGTGACTGTAAGCCAGTAGTTTCCTTCATTTGTAAAAAGGAAATGGTAAGCCACATCTTAGAGATGTTGAGAGGCTAAAGGAAACAATATATGTAAGACACAAATCTGTTACATGGATGAATGATTAATGTTCACTCATAAATTACAATGTATTATTATATTATTTTTAGTAACAGTATATGAAAGAAGGAAGTTTTCATCAAGAGAGGAGTTATCTCTAATGCTAAATTCTGCCAAAGAAATCAGTATTAACTGCCAATCTCAACAAAAGTTATCTAAATGGAACTAAGATACTTTTGTGCTTCACACCTGGAATCTTTAAAAAATCAGAAACCCAAAACACCAAGGAATGAGTTAGCCAAACTAAAGTTATACTTTGTACAATTTTAAGATACTAACAGGAAGATTCCTAATTAAAGAGCAGGCTGCATTTTTTAAAATTCTGTTAATTTGGTTGTTCATTATTTAGAAGTTACTCTTTTATATAAATAACATTATAAATAAAAATAATATTATAAATTGCAAATTCCAAAGCTATACAATAAGACCAATTTACACTATCAACTCGCTGAAATTTGCAACATTATTTTCTATTATTTTTTCAGCTACTGTATTGCAATACTTATATGATGGTAGAAGAGCATTAAAGAAAAGCGTTTCAATCATGAGTAGAAAAAAATATATTTTTGAGAGTTAACAAACCCCTGAAAGTATCAACTACTTGCCTGTCGACAAATAGGGAATACTATGGCCCTAAAAGTATACTTAGTCCCCATTTTGGTGGTCATAGTACATTAAGACCAGGGATACTACCTTGAATAACAGGTGCTCAATTAAAAAAAAAAAGTTAGATGTTATAATTCCAGCTACTGAAGAGCCTGAGGCAGGAAGATTGCAAAGTTTGAGGCCAGCGCCCAACTTAGTGAAATCTTGGCTCAAAATAAAATTAGAAAGGCCTGAGACATAGCATAGTAATGAAGTACTTGCCTAATATGTGCAAGGCCCTGATTTTGATCCCGAGCAAAATAATAATAGTGTCAGAAGAATATATTGAATATACATATAAGATGAACATATGAATATATCTCAAAAATAATGTATGACTGGCTTTTCTTAAATCTTCAGAGATCTCTGGCCAGTTCATAGTTTAGAAAAGAAAATACCATATTCAAAAGCACTTAACATTCAACAGTAGACCTCTCTAATTCTGTTCCCAGGCAGGCCTACTATTTCAGCTAAGTAGTTTTTATCAAGGATAACTATTTTATACTCATACTTTTTAATATTCAAAAAAAGATCTACCCTGAAAAAAAATAAGCAAAGACACAATAGTCTTTCATCATATGGAGACAATTTTAAGAAAAGAAAGTTCACTGAAGTTTGCCACAGCTGATGAATAAAGCATTGTACTATTTAAAAGATTGGTGGGCTGGGGATTTAGCTCAGTGGTTCTGCCACCTGTCTTACAAGCACAAGGACCCAAGTTTAATCCCTGGTACAAAAAAAAAAAAATTGCTGAGTAATATTAATATTTTTAATCCCATTGCTTTTTTCTAGACTATTTCTTTAAATATTTTTCTGATATTAGTAACCAATAAAGTCTCAATGGGTATGGAATTATGGGATGAGCATATATTGGTTTTACTGACTTTTCAGTTTCAGAAATATATTTAATTGTTAGTGCAGATAGCTGTGTCAGAGCTGCCTACAAATGTCTCCACTCAAATATACCTCCATTTAATATGTTATGAAACAGCTTTTTGGATGAAGGTTATATTTTAGGGAGGTGGTAATTCATTCACTTTGCTGATGAGTAATTTATTCACTTTATTACTGCCTTCCATCTTGTCTCAGACATCAAGAAAGCCCCTTCACCACAACATTTTTATTATTTGAAGCAGGCAGTGGAATGACTGAGCTAAATCCCCTGCCCCATTTTTATAATTAAAGCCTAGTTCTAATGCTTTCCTAGATCTTTCTGTCACTGTAGTACATTTTGTCATTAACTGAACACAAAATTTAATACTTATAATTTTAGTTCTCTTTCTTAAATGCCTGAGTATAACAGCATCCATTGCTACTTAACAGTCATTTTTGTGCTCTAATCTGGTACTCTTACTGAGATGAGAGTTAGAATTGCCTTGTTTTAAATATAACAAGTATAATTTTTTAAAAATTGTATTTCCCTCTGTCACCTTAACTCTCTTAATCTCACTCCATGGTGTTTATTACATTTTAATTCCTAATATAAAGTCACAGTCTTCTTACCAGAATGCCATACACCCTAAGTTCTTATACCAGATGAACTAAACTAGACTCAGATTCCTTTCTGTTCTACCATGTTAGGGTTCTGTAACTATGAATGCATCCCACAAAGCAGGAGTGGACTGAAAAGAGCAAGTACAAAGGGTAAATGCAAGGCAAAGTTTTACTTCAGATGGACAAAAGGAAAAACATACAAAAATCTTTCAATATTTTTATATCATAGTAATAATTCTTAATAATTTCCATTTTATACAGGCTAAAATTGTGACTCAAATATTTCAATCTCTACGATTAATTCCCAGGCCACCCACCTAAAGTGGTATTTCCTTTTTACATGCTTAA